CAAGTTGCAAAGAGGTTCTGATAGAAACGCTCTCAAAAAAAAAATAAAGGACAAAAGGAATGGCATACCACAAAGATTGAAAAAGGGCGAAAACACCTTCACCAGGAGTTTTAAACCTCCAGACGCACAGCAGCCTGACTTTTCAGAAAATGTATTATTATCAACACCAAAAAATAAAGGGATTTAGTTGAAGTGTTAAAATGGGTGTGTAAAAAAATGCTGGGGCCATACAGAAAGTGCTTACAGTGCGTCCCGGTCCAAATTTACACGTCACAATTTTTTATTACTTACGATTCTTCTCTGATGGGAAAAAAATGAAAATTACAAAGTCTGAAAATTATGGTTGGAACCATCCCCATACAAGAACGGGGGATCGAGCGGCAAGCATCTTTCCAAGCCTGCCATCGTCTCTCCCTCCCCTGTCATCTTGGTTCTGCTTCTATTCTGCCTGCTTTCCCCCCCCCCCAAACATCTCGATTTGTAAAAGACATTTTGAATGGTTACTCACTCCCTCCTCCCTCCTCAAGTGGGGGCTCCAAACGCTAGCCACCCGACTTTGCCACGTGGTTATTTAAAATATAATAAATACTTAAGTTTACCTAAAAATATGGAAGATTATGAATTATAAAAGTTATTGACATATTTTTTTTTTCTATATTAAGGCCGCCTCCGTTTTTGCAGTACATTTCTATCATAATTTATCTTTAGGGTATCGGTTCTAGTATACGAGGGGTTGCTATATGATTATTGATTATTTTTAAACTGTTGGCTTAAAGGGGGATATTTGCGAAATAGAGCACCTTACGGTTCAAAAATGACTGCAAGAAATTAAGTATCTTTTACAACATCATATGTATAGTGGCTTACGATTTCTACGCCAAATCTTTATTTTTTAATGCGACTTTTTATTATTGTCTGTGTTCCTATTTTTTGTAAATGTTAATTCATTTTTTTTTTTTAAGCCCTTGATTTTCAAAAATTATTTATGTACAAAGTAGTTTAGTTGTTTATCTACTTATATATGGCATTTACTTTTCTTTTAACTATAATATATTCTAATATCTTTTTTTATCATTTCTTTTTAGTAGAGAAAAATACATAGTTTATTTTGTTTAGTGTTAACTTTTGCATTTCACAAAACATACAAACTTGCTTAATATGAATTCTTCAGAAGCTCCACGTCAACGGATTCGAGGCGAATCTTTTAAACAAGAATATCAGGGTGGAAGTCGTCGACGTGTCAACAGAAGGCGAGACCCTTCGATGAACAAATCAGATAATCGGTTCGTAATTCCTGATCAAAGCGCAAAGTTTGAGGGTAAACTTGTATTAGTACTCGATTTGGATGAAACACTTGTTTTTGCACGGAGTGGTCCTTTGTTTGCTCGGCCAGGCCTAGATGAGTTCTTTAAAATATGTAAAGAGAAAACAGTAGAGGTCATTGTGTGGACTGCAGGTTTAAAGGCCTATGCGCAAGCAATTGTCGATAACATTGACAAAGAAAACGCAGTTGCACATTGTATTTATCGTCATAATAAGTGGTTTACAGGACAGCCTGGTTATCGTAAGGATCTTTCGGCTCTAAACCGACCTTTGGATAGAGTACTTATAATTGAAAACACACCTGATTGTATTCGCGGCTACCAGGAAAATGGGATTCTTGTTGATGACTATGAGGGTGGTGAAAGGCCTGATTGTACAGTTTATGCTTTAACAAATGTCATTCAAGATCTGTGTGATAGTGGTATGAGCGTTCCGAATTTCTTGTCAAATTGCAATTTACTTGAGCGTTCTCAAATCCAAACAGATATTGGTGATTTTATTAACGTATACAGGTTGAACGTAAATCTTTGGGAACCTGGCACACACGTTAGGGTCAATCGTGATCTTCTGTGTTGAGATACTATAGCTAGATAAAATGACGTATCTTTATGACGTGTCGCTGTCTAATTAAATTTCAGTCTCTTAAATGAAGCACTGAAACACGTTCAATACATTTTTTATATGCATTTGTGTGTATAATTCATTAAAAGGGAAAATAGAGGGCTAGTCAACATTCTTAACATCATACCTCGTCATAAAACAATTGCTTCGACAAATTGGTATTTATGCGAAGATATTAGAGCACCTTTTCGCACGTGTTTATCAACCCCCTTCTTTGACATTGTTCACAATCCTAATGGAGAAAGTTGAAAAAAACTCACCATTTTTTTTTGTGCACATTAAAAGAGAAAAAATGGATGGGTAAATAAGGACAATGCGATGATGTTGATGAGTTAGTTTGCCCTTTCCTTTATTTGTTGTCTCACTAAAAGAGTGAATAGAGAATATACCTTGCGCTTCCAAGAAGAGTTTTCCTATTGGTTTTTCTCTTTTAGAGAGAAGTATTGGAAGAAATAAATTACACTAATATCATGTGTACTGTTGCTAGAAATGATGTTTGTTCTCCGAGGGAAAGATTTTGTACATAAAAATAAAGCAACAAAATTTTCGGATAAATTTTAACTTGATAAACAATAAGTAAAATAGTATCACCATGGAAAAAAAAGTTCGGGTTGTGTTGGTGAAGTTTATTTGCTATAGTTAGTTGTAATTTAAGTACGTTTTTTCCTCCAGTGCATCGGGTTCTAGTGATCGATTTGCGCACAAAATGATCGATAACAAATCTTCTATCAAGCATCAAATGCACATTTTTTGTCTGTTGTTTGAATGGTGCTTTTTATAAACAAAAAGACTTCTTGTTTTTTTTATTATAATATGGAAAAAACATTATGTATTATAAATTAATATATCTTTATGATAAGCAAAAAAATCTGACATACTTTAACTTGTCCAATTTTTTTATATTTAATTGAAATTTTCTTTTCTTTCAATATTTTTATCGATCTATTACTTCACAAAGTGAAGAATCATAACATAGATTAGAAAAATGTCCGAAAGCACAATTTCAACATTTTCTTCTATAGAGTCAGTAAATATTTCCAATGAAACTAATCATGATATGTGGAATCAAATTGCTCGAATGCCATTTGATCTTTTATCCAGAACAAATGAATTCATGTACATTGAAAAAGTTATGCGTCTGATATCTAAATATCATTTTGAAGCTCATGATGACCATATGATTGATCCTCACTACACTTTAAAGCTGTGTACATTGCTTTTGACGGTTTCATCTAAATCCTTGACCGAGATAGAACATCTTCGGGAAGAAATCAGGCGAATAAACAATAAAAAAACTTTTATGGAGAATTATTTCACTTCCGAAATAGAAAAACAGCCTGCAGAAGTAGTATTAGGGGGTCGAAATGCTATGGGGACAAATTTATCTGATAAGGAGAATTCTCTGGTTTCCAAGGAAAATATTAGCAAAACAAACGAATCCCGACTTAATAATGAACTAGGTTGTTTGGAGAAGGAAAACTCTGCTTTATTATTGGAGCTCAATAAAGAAAAGCACGCAAATGAAGAGTTACGCCAGTTATTACAGACACAACACGAAGAAATCACAGCAATGAAACAGGATGATGCTAAGATGCATTTGGAATATCGACATCTTGATTCTCGTCATCACAGGCTGATAGAAAGGTTTGAGAAGACTCAGCGAGCTCTCGAAGAATATATAGAAAATGACACACAAAGAGGACAATATAAAGAAAATGGACATCTACAATTACGAGAGGAGATAAAGTTACTACAGCGGGAAAATTATAGCTTAAATGAGTTACGCAACCAAGCCGAAGAACTTTGTGAACAGAGGGAATCAGAGGCTCTTCGGGATATGACTAAACTCCGACGCATATCAAAAGATCTGATCGATGAAGAAAGGTGCAAGTTGCGTGAGGCAACTGAACATTATGCGGCTTTAAAAAAAGAACATAGTACCAACATGGCACATTTAGTTGATCGACATGCTGAAGATCTTCGTGTTAAGGACGAAGAGATTGCTCTATTGCGCCAACAGCTTGATAGGATTTCAACTAAGCGAACAAAACATTCTGAAGATGATACCGTCCTGATGGCCTCTAGAAATGAGGATTCGTATAGGTTTATAGATTCATCTTCTGAAAAGTCTGAGCGACGACGACTTGAACGCGAAAATTCAGATCTCGCTGCGGAAGTTGAAGAACTGGAGCTACGCATCGATACTATGGGTGAAGAAAACAAAAGGCTATCAAGTTTTATTAAAAATTACGAGTGTGGAGACGAAGGTCTATTACGTTTTCGTCACCAATTAACCGACCAAATGCGCACAGTGGAAATTCTGCAAGACGAAAATACTCAACTTCGTGAACGGCTTAATTACATGGAAGATTCCCTATCTTTTACGGTTGCTTTGGAAAAGTTATGCAAAAAAGTTGGCGTGACTGATGCGGAGATTACCAGCCTTCGCTCGAAAAACACGACAGGTTACGACGAGATGGCTACCATAAGAGAGGAATTAAATGTCTTGAAGCAAGAAATTGAATGGTTAGAGAAGGATCGCAGGCACTGGATGAACAAGGTCCGTCTACAGCCTCTGATCTTCACAAAGCTTCGCTTTGAGCTTGGCCTAACAGCTGAACAGCTTAAACGATTAGACGCATTGGTGGATCAAATGAAGTCTACAAAAATAACTATTGATGATGGTGATTCGTCTCATAAGGAAAAATACTTAAAAAAATCGGAAATCCAACACACTGATGCCCAAGAGTTCAAGGAATATTTAAAAACTAAAATCGAAAGTGCTATCAAGGGTGCCTTTAAAACCCTCAATGATGGAACTAGCTTAGAGTCTGTGTTAACCAGTTTAGAGGCAACTATTGAAACGTTGAAGCCTGTGAATATTGATGATCCAAACCTATCCTCCGCAATTTCGTCACTAAAAGCAGAACTTGCAAGCACAAAGCGACAGGTTGACGAATTTGAGCTTACGATAAAGGACAACGAATCTGTGATCCAAGCGCTTCGTGGAGAGTTGGCAAGTTCTGTGGATGAAAAGGAAGCCCTCGTCAAAGAATGTAATCAGTATAAGAGCTTTATGTTCGCGACCCTTGACTCGACATCTGATGTGGCAAATAACACTTTTGATAAGTGTCGATACGATGATGGAAACGTCCAAAAGGCCGGTGCAGTCCATAGGGATACCACTAAATGGGCCTCTATTGCATCATCATTGCGCGATCAGCTAAAAATGAAGGATGATGTTGTCGAAGTTCTTAAACTTAAATTGAGTGAGGTAGAAAAAAACCTCGAGGAAAAGCAGAGACAAATCGAGACGGAGAAGCAGCTTAGCCTGTCTAATCTACATATTAAAGAAACCTTAAACGACCAAATTGTTGCATTACAAGAAATGAACGAGGAAATGAATGAAAAAAACGTTGAACTCAGGAAAATCAACTCCGAGGTCACTAGTGCCATGGACCAGATGGAGAATGGTAGTTGTCGAGAGCTTCTTCAGAAAGTTGTGCTCCTGCGTCGGCGGGAGGCGAAACTCTTGAGCCGCCTTCGAAAGGCCATTGCAGCTCAAGAGGATGCAGTCGCAGCGGAAAGGCGTTTGCAATTCACCATCGACACAACATTTAAAAACTTACAGGATGCACTTGAGGGATCCTCCACTGGGTTTGTCCTTCCACCTTCCTCCGCTTTTCACGACCACGAAAAAAAAATTTGGACCTTTTGCACACGTCTCTCAAAACTCTCCTTCAAGGTAAGCTGTTCCGTGAGGATAGTCGTTACCTTCTCCACCTCCAGAGCGTATATAATAATATGGAAATCTCCGAAGAAATTAATATGCTCCGTGAAAAAGACCGTGCGAGCACGCGAACTATTGATACCCTCCAAAATGAGATTGATCAGCTTAAGCTGCAGGTTGAGGTGCCGCAAAATATGGATCTTAACGTGCGATTTCAGAAAGCCATTGACGATCGGAATGGGAATAAAGAATACCGCGCCGCTGCGGCGTCTAGGTGGGAGTCTGAAAGCATTGTGTGGCGGCAAAAGTATGAGCATTGCTATAAGCGTTTAGAGGCAAAAAATGAAGAAGTATCGCTCTTGGATAAGGATCTTGATGCAGTACGTCAAGAAATGTTAGAAATCAAAAACAACGTACTAAATCTTTTTCCAACAGACGACCTTGGGCACCCGACGTCGCCGCAGTCACTACGAAATGGACAGGAGGCGAGTGTGGACTTTCAAAACAAAATGATTCCAATGACGACAATGGTACCCTGCGGTTCTGAACATATTCATGATGTCACCGCATCGGAGCCCCTCATGATTGAGAAATTGGCCCGCCTTGAACGAGACATGGCACGTCTCAAATCTGTTAATCTTGGGCTTCTTCAGCATTCTTTAGATTTGCAATCCACCCTTAAGTCTTCCGAGATCGAGCTTGCGGCAAATAAGCAAGAAATCGCTCTTATCAGAGATGAGGGCAATACAAAGTCTGTCAGTGACTTTGTGAATGCTGCCGTTCGTGAGCACGCTGCTTTACGTCGGCAAAGTGAACTTGCCCTTATTCAGGTGAAGCGATTGAAGATCCAGCTGACGGCTACAGAAGCCAATTACCAGGTCGTTGCCAACGAAGCCACTTCGTACAAACTTAGCGCGTACCGGTTATATCGCAGGTATATAGAGGAAATGGTTGCTGTGGTGGACTACATACGCTTCCTACAGCGTTCTTGCAAAGGATCTATATCACCGCATCGGGCTGAGATCATGGATAAACGTTTTCGCTTAATCCTTGACGAATTAAACTTGGCCTGTGAACGCAATAAATCTTTGGTCACTGACCTATCGGATAAACTGAACGATATCAAGACATTCAAACAACAAATTTCATTTCTAAGGATGGAGAAAAAGCCTGGTGGAAACGACGCTATTGAGCAACAGTTCCTGGATGCTCGATCAACCACGCGTAGTGCTATACACAAGTTTACTGAGTGTGAAGAAAACCTTAAGTTTAGTGAGGCTAAAGCTCAGAGAATGGAAGTCTATACTAAGGAACTTTCGGAAGAAATTGCCCGTCTTGAGTTCCGTTGCTGGAACATGAAACCTTTAGAAGAGGCTTCATATGAAAAGCTACTTCACCTGCGGGATACTGTATTCGCCAAAGCAGAGGCCCCACCTTTAGCAGTTCAGCCAATAGAGACGGTTTCGCTTCATGGTGGGACTGGTGAAACTGGCAAAATGTATCTCGGTGCGGATGATGATGACACCGCAATACGAGAATACAAAACGTCAATCTTGAAGCAAAAGGAACTGGCTCGCGAGTGCACTGGCCTAAGGGCAGAACTCGATGCAAAGTCTCGTGAGATACAGACGCTCACCTCTAACGTCCATAACTTGCAAGACAACATAAAGCATTTAGAGAATAAGACAATCTTGTATCAGGGACAACTTGAAGGCGAGCGTGTCAAGGCGGAAGAAAGGGAGGCTCGACTGAGGAAAGCTCATGAGGTGCAGTCTGAGGTGGCATGGAAGGCGACTGAACGCAATTGCGACTGCTTGCGCGATATGGTGCAGAGGAAGGATAAAGAAATTCATCAACTTCAGCGGCAGCTTCACGCGGAGCGGCAAAAATATGCCGAACTGAAGCTCGAGGACGCAAGCCGATTAGAGCGATTCCATGAAAGGATGTTCTCTGAGAATGAGGCCATGATCGAGCGCTTCAAGAATGCGGTACAAGATAAAGCTGATATTGGCAATGATAATGAACAATCGCAGCCAGCACTTTTAGGTACTGATAATTCTATCTTCGAGCAGCTACGCGGTTTGACTAGCGACAATATTCGTTTAAAGAGAGAACTTCAGGAGGCTCAAGCTGCAAATGTAGTTCTGGAGTCGCAACTAAGCCAGCAAAATCAGGACCTCCAAAGCGTTGCACAGACAATGATCGGTTCAGGATTTAAAGTGAGTATTTCAGGCCTGCATGTGGATGGAACCGGTGGCGAGCGAGTCGTCCAATCCCACTCTTCTGTCAAAGAACCTGTTTCACCTTCACTCGGTGTATCGACCGCTTGTCAGCCTGCTTCTAATGTGATTAAACGCACCGATATTTTAACCGGGATCATTAATAATCAAGGAGCTATGATCGAAAGTTTACGACAACGTGAAGTAGCATTGTCAAATGAACTACAACAGGAAAAGAAACTCCATAACAAGGCTTACACCGCATTACACGAGCTACAGTCACATCAGGTTGAACAAGAAGGCACGTTACGGTTAGCAACCCAAGTGTCTACCGTCGCGTCCGACTCCGCGCTTGTTCGTGAGCTGCGTTCTAATATACTTTATTTAGAACTGGAGCTTCGCAATACCAAAGAAGCCCTTGATCAAGAGAAAATATTATCCAATCGACTCCAGACTGACGTAGAGGACTGGAAGAAACATTTGGAAAGTTTGCAGTTAGAGGTGTCACACCAGCGAATAGAGGTTGAGAGCTCCGTACACTTGTCTGCTCTAAATCAAGCACTCCAAAGCGATTTAGGTGCAGTAAAAGAGCAAAATGAAAAGTTGATGACTGCAGTATCATTGCTTAAGGATAAGCTAATGGTAGAGGCTCAGAAAGGAAGTGAAACTACACGACAGCACCATCAGGAATTGGCACTAGCACGGCGTATGGGGGTCATCCAGAATGAGTCCATGCAACATATAAAAGTGCTTGATCACCGCATCAAATCGATTCAACAAGAGTTAAATGAGCGTGTTGAAAAGGAGAAAGAAGCATTGACCCGGTATGAAGATACACAACGCATGGTTTATCAGCTTCATCAAAATTTGCGTCACAAGGAAGCTGATTTAGTTAAATTGAAGCAGCAGCTTCATCATCTGCACGCTGAAAAAGGCCGACCTGGGGTAGATCTTCATTTTTCAGGAAAGACCCAGGTGCAGTCAATTTTTAGAGAGAAAGGAATCCAAGTTATAGCCACTGATTTAAACCCAGGTGCTGGTACCCTTGCACCCTACCCCTGTGCACCCACAATCATTCAGCCTTCTGCTGTTGATACTATGGCAACGTTATCAACAGATTACCCCTCTCATGCAAAGTCCGTTAGCACGGGAATAGCACAGAAAGAAAATAATGTGTCATTAATCGTTCGGAAAGCACGTAAGATGGAATTTGATAACCTTCAGTGCATTTCGGAGCTCCGTAGCCAACTGGCGCGCACTGAAAAAGACTTAGCTGATGCGAGAGAGCATCTCACAGCTGCTCATGAAAACAATTCCAAACTTCGTCAACAACTTCGGTCTCATAAAAAGGACATGGAGGAGATGGGGAAGCGGCACGTATGTGAGGTGGCTCAACTACGTTCTTTTATAGTTTCAAATAGGCATCCACCCAAGACTACAAAAGATGCGCCTTTGGCAACAGACCCGCAGCAGCACATAGCGATCCCCAAGTCAAATTTCCAAGCTCGGGATAATGTTGAATTGGTGAAATCACAAGCCATCCAGCAACAGGAGCAGCAACATGATGGCATTGTTAAAGGGCTTTATCGGCAATTGCAAGTGGACGTTCCGGCAAATGAGAACACACTACACCGCCACATTGTTAAACTGAATGCAACCATCGACCGCCTAGTAGACAGACTGGCTCATACAGAGCGCTCTAGCCCAGATGAAGTTCGACGCACTTACAGTGTGCCAAATACAGAAAAAGAGAAGAGTATTGCTGCTTTGCAAGATGAATTATTGAAGAAGGATGATGTTATTCAAAATTTACATTCCACGCAAGAAAGCTTGAATTTACAGATCAGCCGCTTGCAGAGCCGCATAATGGAGTGCACGGATTCGGGGAAGTCCGTTAGTAAATCAAAGAAGCTTCTTCAAGAGCAGCTGCTGTCAACGCAGAAAGCACAACACAACCAAATGGAAGCTATGGTTGCCACCATTGGTAACGTGAAAGTACTGATTGAGCACCTTCGCGTTAAAAATTCTGAGCTCACTCTACAGACATCACATATGGCCAAGTACGATGAGGCCTTGTCCGAGATGAGACGTCTTCGTAGCAAATTAGGCGCCATCCAAGATAATTTTATGGATCTTTTGCGTATATCTAGCGCATTAGCGCAATCAGCTGTAGCTTATCCTTCAGATCGACATCCCAGATTGCGGCAAAGATTACCCATCACACGGACAGAGGTGGATGGACCCGATGTGCAGCCCGAGACGTTTCAGACCCCAACAGTAGGCCAAGCACACCACACTTTGGCCGAGGGGTGATGACACTAAGACTCCACTCGAACAGTAGTGTCCTTTTTCCGTCTTTGCATACAAATAAAGTATACTTCTAAGGCTTTCCGGTGTAATTTAATTGATTAGGATAGATAGTACTACCCCTATGATTTCAGAGTTAGTGGATGGAGGGAAAGATGACGGTCTATCTTCTCTACACTCATCCTCCACTTTTCGGTAAGTATGAAAGTAGAGTGAGCAGACGTCGTGTTGATGTTCTTGTTGTCAGCCATGGTGATATAATGCATTATCGCAAGTTAAGGAAAAAGTTACGTTCACAAAGGGAGATCAAGTATAATAGAGCTCTTAGGAGTACAATAGATTATAATTAGACATGCTTTCTTTTTTATTCACACAATTTTCGTGTGAATTTCATTGTTATGGGACAATTGAACATTCAAAAATCATTTTCTGCGGTATAATGTAGAAAATCAGCATTTAATGAAGGCATATTCACTAAAGCAACAAAGTAGATGAACTTTCTTGTAAAGTTTATTAGGAGAATTAACCTTCTCAATTGTATTTTGAGCTTCTACTTCTTTAAGAATATACCTTTTCTTACTGAATCTATATTTTTGTACTTAGTAGAAAGTGTTTCTTAACCCCTTTGAAATATAGGCAATATGAGTGCTTTTTTCGATTTCGAGACTATCCTATACATTTTACTGCTTAGCATCTGCACAGCCACGTATTTGCGACAGTATAGTCCTTCTCTTTTTCACCGTGATAGCCATGAACTGTACAAGAAATTTTTGTACAGGTGTAGCGTAGTGGGTGATCGATTGTCGCCATGGGTATCTATTTGCTGCCTCATCCTATCAATGAAAATTCTATTTTCCGACTGAATCTCAGACTTCACTTTACTCAGTGATGCACAGTTACTATGGTGCGATATGATTGTTATATAGAGAGGGGTTTGTTAGTGGGGTGTATTTTTATTTCTTATAGATGGTATGAGGAGCAATGTATTATTCTAAGTTCTGAGTCATATTGCTTGCATCAAGAAATAAATATGAGTATCGTTTCTGACTAAATTTGTCATCAATACCCTTTTTTTTGATTACTAGGCGGCTTAAATTTTGTCATCCTAATGTTTATTACTCATGCTTTATTAATGCTTGTCCAGACATGTCTATGGCACCACCTCAGTAGAAAATTGTAGTTAAATCAAACCGTTTTTTTTTTTTTGAAGATAGACATGCAAACCTTGAATATCCTTATTTTATAGAGATTCCGATACTATCCCGAAGGTGCCTTTTTCAAAGGTTATTTATTCAGTGTCCTGTTTATACAGTATTTTTGTTGTTAGTGTGTGTGTTGACAAAAAGACTCCTCAGAAAAAAAAAGAAGAAACCTAGTAACATTAACATCAGTTTCTAACCCAATAAAACGACTATCATCAAGGAAACATTATTATACTATAAAAGGCACTTCAACAAGCTATCGATGCGGCTTCGATCCTTTCTCTTACGGTACTACCCACCAGGTATTACCTTGGAATACGAAACCTCGTCTGGTGAAATTGGTCAAAAGGTGATCGACTTACTGACACTTAGCCCATCAACAAATCTTACACTTTTGGCAAATGATCTCATCAATTCTGAGCCACTCTTAACGGAGAAGTATCGCACGTCTATTATGCAGTATCTGAGACGTTTAGTTGACAAGATTAAGGAAGGCTATGAGAAGCAGACGTTTTACCTTTTCAAGAGCATGCGTGCCCATCTGCTTCCTCTCACAAATTGTGCCTTTAACAAGGGTGGTGATAAATTCGTGACCGGCAGCTATGACCGCGTTTGCAAAGTGTGGGATACCACGACTGGGGATCAGTTGTTATCCTTGGAGGGTCACCGCAATGTAGTATATTCTGTGGCTTTTAATAACCCCTATGGAAACCGTGTTGTGACCGGTAGCTTCGACAAGACGTGCAAGATGTGGGATGCTACCACTGGGCAGTGTTTCTACACCCTTCCTGGGCACTTGACCGAAGTGGTCTGTCTCTCATTCAATCCGCAAAGCACTATGTTAGTAACGGGGTCCATGGACAGCACCGCCAAGGTATGGGATGTTGAGCGAGGGGATGAGCTATTTTCTTTCGTTGGGCATACAGCTGAAATAGTCTCTGTGAAGTTCAACACTTCCGGCAACCTTGTCATGACTGGATCTTTTGATACAACAGCAATCTTATGGGACGTACGCACAGGAAATATAGTGAGGTCGCTGAAGGGCCACCGGGGTGAGATTTCCTCCACACAGTTCAACTTTTTATCTAATATGGCGGTTACGGGAAGTATTGATCGTACCTGCAAGCTATGGGATATAGGAACCGGGATTTGCATGGAGACCTTTCGTGGGCACACAGACGAGGTTCTTGACGTAGTTTTTAATGTCACGGGTAGTCAGGTTGTCAGTGCGAGCGCAGATTCCACAGCGCGGGCATATGACACTGCCACCTTCAACTGCATTTCCAGCTTTATCGGACACGATGGTGAAATATCTATGGTTCAATTTAACCCTCAGGGAAATAAAATTATTACGGCATCGAGTGACAAAACGTGCCGTATATGGGATCTAGATTCTGGGCAGACAATGCAAACGTTAATCGGACACACAGACGAGATATTTTCATGTGCATTCAACTACCAAGGTAACATGATTCTAACGGGTTCAAAGGATAACACATGCCGCATATGGAAGTGTTCATAACAATCTGATGTTGACACGATATTCGAAGAAGAAAACAGGGAGCAAAAGATTTAACGATTGCAGCTTAAATATACTTTCACTTGGACATTGATACATGTTGTTTCTTTTGCGTCTGAAGGGTATTGAATATTATTGTCACTATTCTTTGTAGTGAGTTTGCATCAATTACTCATGCCCTAAAGTTGAATGTTGTGTTTTCTTCGTAGGTTTACACAATCATTTATTTTTCTTTAAGTATCAATTGCATGTTATTGATGTATACTAGAGTTATACAAGAATACTTGTCAATGCTCTCAAAAATTACATTAACAATATCACAGACATGACAAGGAAGCTTGTCCGGTATACATTTTTACCACCAACATGACTGCTCTTATTGTTTGTTATTTTCCCACTCTTTCACTTGTATTGATTTTAGGTGCGGTTGCGCAACTGCACACGATCCTAATTCTTCGAATTTAAATATATTTTTTGCAGTATGACGTACACCTATATCATTATATATTTACATAATCGTTGGGAAAATAGATCTATCGAATATTAATATTGAAAAGTGCATGTATCATGGCTAATTGAGGCGTAGAACTCTATCGAAATCTAGGTGTATTATAAGATACTTACGCCTAAATGGTAGTCGAAGGAATACTCTGAAAACGTCAAATTTCTTCAATGTTGTTATCTTAATTACGTAAATGAGCTTTTGTTCTAGCCACTTTGTTTCCTTTATTTTTAAAACTTTTCTACCTTTTTTTGATACTTCTGACAACTTCAGATAGATGCTCTGCCTTTCGTAGTATAGAGCTAAAGAAAGTAAGTAGAGGCGTTTCAGCTACTTTTGGTGTATGTGTGTGTTTCACTTCATTTGAAATTGTTTTCAAACATAATCAAAGTAGACATACACAAGTGCTAATTTTTTTAGGGGGTTTTGGGAAGATCCAAGTACACTTAAATCTAGGCTACAATTATATTTGTAGAAACATTAGGTATTCTCTGCACTTCAATCATTTTCTTTTAGTATTTAACGTTCAGGAATTTTTTGCATTTCATTACTATATTCAATGCTTCAGACACACAGGCTGCTTTCTCTCCTTCGCCGAACGTTCGTGTGCAAAATGATTAGCGACGAGTACATTCCTCGTGCGTTTCCTGTGAAGGTGACAACTGGGCTCTCAGGTATTTCAGTGGAGCCGCTATGGAAACCAAAACTGCTGGCAGCTGCCTCAGAGCTTCATGCATTTCTAATTACATCGGACATACCTCCGGAGTCAACCTATTACAACATCACGCTGACCCTTATCAAACGTATTAACCACGGTATCAAAGAGTGCCAGGACGATTGGTGTACACTGGAGAAAAAGTACTTCTGGGCTTGGCCAGTAGAGTACATTTTACAGGTAACTTGGCGTGAGCTGGAGACAGCCCAAAAGTGGAATGAATTGCGATTATGGGAGTTAGATCCAGAACAAGTCAAAAAGGTAGCCCGTGAAGACCAAAATATTGGCAAAGAGGGTCTTGGGTGTAATTCGCCATGGGAACAGGTCGTTCGAGAAGATTTCGACAAACGTAAGAAAGCATTGACGCAGGAAGAGATGGCAGAGCTGAAACGCATGGATACAGAGCGTATGTCGCGTGAAACAGCTGCCTATAAAGAACGGAAGGAACGCATTAGGAGTGATCTAGAACGCGCGCGTGGTGACATGCTCAAAAAGTTCCTGAACAAGCGGTACGCTGTGGATAAGGACCTTATGCGCATGCAGCCGGGTAAGAAGCAGAGTGAAAAGACTTCAGATGATCTCATTCGCGAACTGCGTGCATCTGTGCAGCAAAATCCAGAGCTAAATAAGGATGGGGAAAAAAATAGCTAATAAGAAAGAATGCCAATTATTTTATTGTATAGTTAGTATATGTGATTTTCTCCTTGCATTTTACTGAAGTTCCTATAATAGCTTTTCATACTGATAAAATTAGACAGTTTGAGAATTGCTTAAGATGGAAGGAATCAGAAAATGCTGAAATTTGCATAATTGATTTGGCGGTATAGGAAATTTTATCATTAGCGTTTAGTCATGACACATGAAGAGCTATTTGCTCTTTTTAGTTCTTTCATTTCGATATATTTTTTCCATTTTCACTATGAAATACAACAATTTTTATCTTTCGAGAGGATATCTTTAGCTTAATACTTTTTTGGAAGATGGATTTTTTCAAACGAAAATCTTCTATATGTGTAAGCTCGCCTTTTCATTCCACTTCTCACATCCATCTCTCATGTGAAGGGTTACCATACTTTTATCGCTAAGAAAAAATACCTTTTCGTTTCTCATTTTATAAACAAAATCGGCCAAAGAATCACGAATTGAAAAGTGTCAAGGCATAAAATCTCTATAATTATGTCTTTTACTGTCCAATCAAGAGGATTTACATCTGCTTCTCCTGCTACCAATATGTGGGATAGCATGGACTTTACCGCCATGGCCGCAGCCGATGAAGCAACTGACGCCGCTGTCAGCCGCTCGTCGGCGCTCAAAGAACGTGTTTGCATGGTATTTTATGAAAACGGGACGTGCCCATTTAATAATTACTGCGAACATGCACACCACTTTTCAGAGTTGGATACTGCTACGCAGTCGAAGTTCCTCAGTAGCATCCCTATAGAGTTAATCCCTTTACATTTTATGGATCCCAATCAGCCTAAGTGTGAACCACTAACAGAATCCAAAGGCTTTTTCAATGGGACTTCACATTGCACTTCATTTGGATGCCCCAACTCTAATCTTGAAAATAGAAATGCACAAAATTCTAATGTTTATGTCATCAAGCAAATTGCCACTCATACACCACCAACGGCATCGACTCCCCGCCCGATTGCACCGACTTTTTTCACAACCTCAACTACAGGTGCTCAAGCTTACCAACGTGGGATTTATACTGCCGCTGCGGTTGGATCGTTTCCGTCCGCTGCATCACCGCTCGATGCCTCTTTTTCCAGTCGCACCACAACCTCGGGCTACAGCAGTAGTCATGGAAGCCCAACATTAGGAAGCGCTTGTCTGCACATCCAGTCGATGCCATCCCAAAATTTATTGGACAACTTCCATATACAGCTCCCTGCGCGTTGTCATTACCCACACCCCAACATCTCTGGAACCTATTATGATATCCTTGGTGTTGATCATAACGCATTGCAATCTGATATTATTGATAAATATAGTACGTGGCAGAGGGAGGGGTATAAAAAAATGCGTCTTGGCAACCCCAAAGGCGCTGAGGCTAAGGATCGACTAATAGTGGAGGCTCGCAATGTGCTCGGACACACTGTGTTACGAGCCCAGTACGATCAATCTCTGGCGAACAAGAATATTGATAGCGTCAGCACTAATATCGACGCTGTCAAGAGCCCCCAGACAGGGACTATCGCGAAAAATAAAAGCAGCTGCAGCAAAGGGAAATGGAGATCGGTAAAGCTTTGATTTCATAGACTAATCCACATAAATTGGGTACATGCATCAATCTGGGTATGAAGATGAGTCAAGCATTCATTTCTGCGTTTTACGAGTACTTCTTTGGAATGTGGGTTACCTTAGCCTAACTTTTTAATGTGTTATGTATCTCGCGTCAGAGTGATTATATTATTTTTTTTTATTATTTTTTAAAAAAATACATCAGTGTCCATACTTTTTGCACATATTTAATAAGGCACACATAGAGGAGCATATTGTGATACTCCTAGCAGCCCAAGTAGCTTTTATTTTCTTGAATTTACCTCTCAAGTGATTATTAGTGGATATGCGAATATATTATTTGCAATCTTCATGAGGGATACTAAATTATTATCCATCTTCACTTTAAGGGGAAAAACACTTTTTTGTATTCCTGTATTTATCTTCCTTGTAACCCACTCATTTTGGAAAATTTTACCCATTTGGGGTCTTCTTTCCATTTTTGAGCATTTATTTTTAATTTTATATCCGTAGTTCAGACTTCAATTGTGTGCCTATGGAGTTATCTACACCTCTAAAAGCTTATAGAGTATGTGGTTGTGGTATTCTATTTTTATATGTACCCCTTTTTCTTTTATTCTTGTTTATTGTCTTTATAAAGACAATAACTTCACTAATTATAAAGCAGCTAGGCTTTAATAGACTCCTACCTCACTGGATATCGCTATCGCTTCCAGCATGTATGCTTCTTTTGTTTTATCTCTTCATTAAAAACTTTATATCTTTTTTCCCAGAATTATGTTCACGCAATTTTTTAGGTAGCGTTGCTTGCACTAAATATATAACTTGTGTTCTCACGAAATGGTAAACCCAAAACGTAGAGTTACCTAGCTTATGTGAATATATCTATGTGTTTGTACGTACTAATTTTTGCATTTCTTTTTGATAGCGTTGGGCTAAAGTAGAAGTGTACCTACCAGAATATATATTTATATGTAATATGGGTATTTGTGTAATCTTTTTTTCGTAAGCTGAGAGTGTACTTTTCATATTACTGTTTTTCAATTAATATTACAAGCGTCGTGTTAAAATATAAATTTAAAGGAGAACTGATATAACAAAATCATGTTCAACAAATCAAAAATGAAGTGCTTTTTGTTTTCTAGAATCAGTGAGCAAAGATAATGTGATAGTTGTATTTTATTTTTCATTATTCATCTTAGAGTTTATTCCTCCCCGTTTTGTATACAAGGCTTGCTTTTGTGTGCATTTGAGTTTTTACATCGAGTAGAATAACTTGTCTGAGATAACGACTGTTTGTAATTTTAAAGAAAAAACTACTTAAAATTTTGAACTTTAACTGAATGGGAAGCGATTGTTAGTCCGTTTCTATATAGTAATATTTCCATTCCTATCTTTTTTTTGTTTTTACCCTCTAGATTACACCGCTGTCACAATGGCCAAGAAGACTAAGTCTAAGGTTGACACAATCAACTCCAAGCTTCAGCTTGTGATGAAGTCAGGTAAGTATGTGATTGGCACCCAGCAGACGCTTTCCACGCTTCGTCAGGGCCGTAGCCGTCTTATAGTGATCTCCAACAACTGCCCACCGGTGCGCCGTGCGGAGATCGAGTACTATTGCACACTCAGCAAGACCCCTATTCACCACTATTCAGGCAACAACCTTGATCTTGGTACGGCTTGTAGCAAACATTTTCGTGCCTGTGTCCTCTCCGTGACGGACTTTGGTGACTCGGATATTACAGCTTAAGAGGGTCTTCAGGGAGGAGTTTAGTACGTCTATATATGTGACAACTTGTGTAGTCTGAATACAAGTTTCGTGATTTTTACTTAAAAAATATCTTTTAGGAATAATTCGAAAAAAAATATATATTATGACACATCGATTATTGTGATAATTTGCTTTTCATTCGAAAAAATTATTCACTGCCTTTTTTCTCTCCTTACAAGATAGCGCAATTCACAATGGCCAAGAAGACTAAGTCTAAGGTTGACACAATCAACTCCAAGCTTCAGCTTGTGATGAAGTCAGGTAAGTATGTGATTGGCACCCAGCAGACGCTTTCCACGCTTCGTCAGGGCCGTAGCCGTCTTATAGTGATCTCCAACAACTGCCCACCGGTGCGCCGTGCGGAGATCGAGTACTATTGCACACTCAGCAAGACCCCTATTCACCACTATTCAGGCAACAACCTTGATCTTGGTACGGCTTGTAGCAAACATTTTCGTGCCTGTGTCCTCTCCGTGACGGACTTTGGTGACTCGGATATTACAGCTTAAGAGGGAATTGTGTTATTTCGATTATTTATGTTTTATGATTCTTTAAAAAGCGTGAAAATAACATTTATGTTCATTTGGTCATAAAATAGCGCTATTAATTTTTGTCACCTCGATGTATTACATAATAATTCTTTATCCCTCTGTTTTGTCTATTTTTTTTTTGTTCTCTCATGCTTTTCGATTGGTGACCTCACAGTTTTCCAATTTGAGCAATCTAATAAAATTTAATCAAATGTCTTCCAGCATCTGTAGGCGCCTCGGTTTGGCCACCAACAGCTCTTTTGACAACAGCTCACTCCGGGCGCAGCTTTTTTTAGCTCTTGCTTCATACGGTGTTCTTGAATTTGTTTCATTCAACAATTCTATCACAGGCTGTTATTCTTCTTCTGCCAACACCACAGACGAAGACTACAACTTTAACAATATCGTAGCACAGTTTCAGAAACTGTCCTCCGCTGAGAATTTTCATGCCGATGCGGAACAAGCTGCTTTCCAAGCACGACAGCGGTGGCGAGTGGCGTTCGAACCGGCCGCGGTACCGCTCGTTTGTAGTAGCCTTTTTCTTAGTTCGACTAACCCTTTGATACCTAAAACTTTGCTAGGTTCATCTGTTGTATCGGTTCATTCCACTTCCCTATCTGTAACTGGCAAAACGGGTTTACGTCTGGAGGAGAAGCTTCTCAAGATACCAGGAGCGACAGCCTTACTTGATGAGTCCACGATTTTGAATTCCTCTATATTTTCGTCCACGGCTTTCGAGAACACTGCAGAAAACTCTCAGTCACTGTTGCAAGACATTACAAAGATTTGTGCTTCATGCATTGGGCCGTACGTGGGCCTACTCCACTTTGAGAACGCACACGATGCGGATCACTACCTCAGGTCACACCAGCTGCGCTTAGCTAAGGAAAACATTTTTGTAACGTACGTCGGGCCTTCCACTACAGGCACGACAGCGGGTCTTTCACAAGCAGTGCCGCATCTACTCACGCGTCATGTTCTTTCTCCCACTGGTTCAGTGCACCTCACCAATAGTGAACAAGTGGATGGCCTCATTCGTGGTTTTGTGGTCAAGATGAAGGCAAATACGCGTTGTGTGGTCGATGCTGGTCTCACGACTGAGTCTTACCAGTGTATCATGGTGGATACCCACTCTAACTTTTTGCGTGTTACAGTTGGCGATGAAGTTTATATCGAGCTTCTGCCATCCCCTGCCGATGGAACTATTAACACTATGCCGGCAATAACTTCAACTCTGGAAATGAACCTTAGGGGTGTTCTGAAGAGAGTTGTTGATGATCACTCTAACCTGCAGTCGCAATTTGCAGTGTCTACGAATGCACTGTCCAAATCTCGTCGTGATCAGTTGCCGACCACCACAATACGCTCGGCTACAGCCACTCTCGATCCGAGTCTACAGATGACTAGAATTGATACCAAGACGCTAGCCAGTAAGCTATTCCAAACAATCCAGCGAGCAAAAGCCAATGGAACGTTGACACAGGATGAGTGTAAAGGAAGCGATGACGCATGCTTAGTATCGAATAACTCTAATTCGCATGGAATTTTACCTTTTCAGAACTTGAAGCGCTTGTGCGGCTATCCACATGGGCTGCACTTACTTTCACAGGTTTCTGTGCGGGTAAACCAAATAACTGATAATGGACTAAATTGCACGCTACTTACCGTTGTAGAAGGCCATAGTCATAGTACACATAGTATAGGTCTTCTTTGCAATGCCACAGCGAAGCAAGAGCCCGTAGGGTGGCCACCTGTTTTCATTCCCTTTTCTCTTATACCTACTTCAGTTCCAAACGCTGATCAAAGCTATGCCGTCCAACAGGTCCCAACGGCTAGGGGTGACTGGCAAAACTTTGCAATAGTAGGTGAACGCTTGACAGTGGCGATTCTTTACACAACCTCTATTGCTGGCAGCCAAGCCACTCGGCAACTTGTTGCTTCTAAGCTCGACGTGCATCTGCGATATGCGGCTTCCATGTCTCGTCACAACACTTCTAAAGAGAGTCTCACCGAGTCAGATGCCACACAAGAGTTTTTTCACAAAGGATTCGCTGAGGAAAGCACAGATAAAACGTCAACCTGTTCTGGAACGATGGATGAACCAACAGTGGCTGTGGGATTACGTTTTGATGGTATCCCAGTCCATACCATCTTGCCGACTGACATAGGAGGTTTTCATGGAGAGCCGTTTCCATGTCATCTTGTTTACCCCTACTCTGGTAGCACACTATCCTTGTGGGCGTTGCCTTTGGTACTAAATACTACTTTGTCTCCTTTCATGGCTTTAGGTAATGATGTTCGAGCGACACCGATACGCTTTGTGGTGTCTGAAGTCTTGAACAATACCGCGAGTGGTCATTATATCAGGTTGTTGAGTATCGATGACTACGATAAGAAGATGGAGGCTAAAGCACAGGCGGAGAAGGACCGTAAGACAAAGCAATGGAATGATGTGAAGTGGAGACTAGCATCTGTTCTTGGGGAAGATGCTGTTCAGGGTCTGAACCTCGACGAAGACGTTTTTACCAAAAAGACGCGTACAGAATGAAAATATTCAACCTTAAACATAATCTTTCCCTTATTACACCCTGCTTTGCTTATCAATACTTTGTTATGCATTTAAATAATGTGCACCTCTTTATGATACCGATAAGGTATTTTTAGCGAGATCTAGAGCCCACCCAAATAGTATTCATTTTCATCCCCCCCTTTTCTATTATGATGCATTCTTTGTATTTTTATCCTCCGGTCAAAGGAATCCCGTTTTTTTGTTATTTTCTTATATATAAAATGACTTTCGTATAAATGAGGAAAATATATCTCTAGATATTTTGAAACATCCCAACACGCAAATTATAAAGTCATGGAGCGGTGCTAATACACACAAAATTTCTATTAACTTTTAAAAATTTATAATTAAACTTGTGAATTCATACTCATTCTGATGCTGTCTAATGAATGTTGTGTTCTGCGTTTAGTTTAGTGATTCCAAGAGTCATGTATAATGTTGAGGTCAGTCTGTTGCGCTATACCGTCCTGGCGAGCTTCTTTGTGAAGGACTTGATAGCTGATTACTATTGTCTTTTTTTTTGCTTGTGGTGAAGTGAATGATTTTCAGGCTTTGCCAAGAGGGGATACTAATGTTGAATGAACCTTTCGCATACCACCACTTGAGTCGAAAGGTCAAGATTACTTTAAAAGGGTTCGCTAAGCATCTGTATTCTTCTTTGTATAATGGAGCCAGTGGTTCCATGTTGATGTTGATCCCCACAACAGAGTTCTGCCTACTAAATTATTAAAACAAACAGGGAATTGTAACTCATATGCATACTGTGAACCTCTTATCGTATCCACAACATCAGGAATTTCAGCAGTGACATCCTTCACAAGTCTGAGGTTTGACATCACCATTTTCTCTTTACACCATAAGTTGCACTAAAGTTTTTTGATTATAACTTTATCTCTCCTTTTTCGTTCTTCTTCGCTTAAATGTCGCCGTGTAATGCATTAACGCTCTTTCTCTTTCTTTCCTATTTACTAGTGTATGGGTATTCCATAACTGATTCCTAGATTTTATAGACCTTTTTTTGGAAATCATAAATTTATACTCAATTTGGCGTGTATTCCGCTTTCTTCTTTTTCATTAGCTTATCTTTTCTCTTTTTTTTCGTTGCCATCACTACTGTTTTGATTATCAAATCACTCACCCTACTATAGACTGTTATAAAATTCAATAAAAATGCTAAGTCGAATAAAGCATTTTGTCGCAAGTTACGCTGCGCATGTTTATTTCTATCAAGTGCCAAAATGTATTTTTGCACTAATGGTACAACTACCTGTGACGTTATGGGAAGTTATCACAAATGTAAGACCTTTTACCTTTAGTGTTCAGCGAAGGCGTCTGATTAAAATTGTTGCTATTACCAAAGATCCCATTGCAAGGAAAAAGATTATGCAGCAATTAGGCCTGCATGAGAATTTGCGATACGATGGACCCCTGTATAATTCACACATAAATACGATCCTTGGTGGTGCGCGTTTGTCACGTCGAGTGGAGTACCAGCGCGAGCTGTTGGATGGTTTGGATGGCAATCCGATTTGTGTTGACTGGTTGCAATGTCATAGAGACTCGAGTTCACCATCACAAAAAGGAGCTGTTGAGTTTCCACAAGGCTTGGTTCTTGTGATCCCTGGAGCCGCGAACACCAGCCAAACCCCGTACATTCAGCGTTTTGCCCGGTTATCTATTTCTCGTGGTTATAACTGCTGCATTTTGACGCCGCGAGGCCTGGGGTCTGCCCCCGTGAAGGTGCCCCAGTTGACCTGTACTACCTTTACCGATGATCTTAGGGTACTCCTACGTGAGAGGTTTTCAAAAAAACGCATTTTTGAGGATTATGGCAGAGAGCTGCCCTTGTTTGTTGTAGGTTACAGTGCTGGTGGTAATACAGCAATAAAGGGCATAGCGGAGGAGCAGGCGGTTCTTGATCAGTACTACCCTTCTGGTTTTCCCGTAACCTGTTGCATTTGCATGAATTCGCCCTATGACATGATAGTTTCTGCAGACGGTATAAACAGCAAGGCTGGTGTCCTATTTTACCAGAAAGGAATGTTGAATACCTTTAAAAGAACATTAAGAAAACACAGAAAATTGATTGACCAGGGTTTGAAGGGGATGTCTATCGAAGAAAGCAATGTTGACAATCTCATAAAACAAATGTCTACAATTGATAATATGGTACTACACTATATTCTACCTCACTTCAGGTACAACAATATGGAAGATTATTACAAAGATGGTCATGTACCCACGTGGATTCGACATATAAAATCGTTTCCAGTTGTTGCTGTTGCCGCTCGCGACGACCCCGTTGTGTTGTACGGAGTGACAGCGCAAAACTGGCAAGATATGGCAGATGCTCAGCCGAACATTGTGTATGTTGAAACGTCTGTGGGCGGCCACTTGGGTTATGTATTGCATCCAGTAGACGAATGGCATGAACGACCGAGTTTTTTAATTAATTTTCCATTCCATGTGATTGATCATTACACTGCATCTTCGCAAGGCTCATAAATTTGATCGGGAAATAGAGCAAGAGATTTAGTCTCTAGTTCGTAGAGAGTAAAAAACTAATATTGCATTCTTTTATTCTAATTTGGCTCAAAGTATTAATGAATAAATTAAGAAAATGCTTTCCGTGCTTATTAGAAATACATATTGGGAGCAATTTTTTTTTGTTCTTGACATTAAATGGAACAATTACACTCTTCTAAGCCATAATTAATTAACTATGATAATATAATTTCTCTCATTTTTTTTCATAATTGCTCTTGGAATCGTTAGGGAGATGTTGTAACGTAAGAAAGGTTCAAAAGTGAATCTTGCAAAAAGCTCTTTACAGTATGTTCATCACAATACGTTCTATACATCGTTACAACCATCGATTTTATTTTACATTTTTGCGTAATTATACTATTTTGTCTCCCTTTTATCAGATTA